TTCGGTTAATTAAACTATGGCCCACTTGAGTTGTGTACTTCCAGCTTCTTTTTAAATTGTTTCCAGCCCAATGTTATTTGGTCCATAGGCCCAATTTCTCTTTGTTCTTTCTTGCCTTGGCCCAATGTGGAAAATTAATTTGCATCACGTGCAAATGAACAGATTTTTCTTTCACCTTCTCCCAGCGACCGGTTCTTCTCCACTTGAAAGTTGTTGCGATTCTTTGGTGAGAAATCTCTCCCACGTTCATAGTCTCTCGCTTACTAAAGACCCGACCAAAGTCTTCCTCTTCTCTTATCAGATTTTCTCTCACCCTTCCTCTCGTAAAGTCGCCGTTGGTACGTGAAATCCGAGAAGGAAGAAGAAACCACATAGATTCATCACCATCATCAATCTTTCGCCTCTCCCTCTTGGTTTCAAAAAAACAAAAAAAAAAGGATCGAGAAAACAGAGCATAGAAAGAGAAAGAAACCTGCTAAATTCTTTATCATCATCGCGCGACCGTCACTCTTGTCGTGAACCAGAAAGTCCCGCTGCTCCCAGTTTCAGCAAGAGAGAGAAGCTTTGCCCTCCAGCAAATCCCGACATTCCAGTGAGAACCCTACTGCTGCCGCGTGTGCCCTCCGCCGTTGTTATGAACCAGTTCAGGCGAGAAGCTCTCCTAGCTGTGAACAGCATCTCCATCGTAATCGCTGGACCATCGTTCTTAGCCGTCGGGTCCCGTCGGAGTGTCGAGCGTAGCCGTTGAGCCCCGTCGTGTTCCGTCGGAGGCCCAAATAAAGTCGGCGAGTCCCAACGTAATTTCTTCCCGCTGCATTCACGAGTCCCAGCATGTACCCGCAGTCGCTGCCGTCATCTTCCTCGCGAGTCTCTTCTCGGCGAGCCTTGTCCGTCGCGACGTCCCTGTAGGCTCGTTCATCGAACTCGTGAGCCAACGGACCGTCGTGCGCACCCTGACGAGCCATCACCAGCCCTCGCGTGATCATCGTCATCACCGTACATGTTATACCACAAATACTTGAACCGCTGGACTGCTCCTCTCCAAACCGGGTTACGTTTCCTTGATCATCGGTACCTGCAAAACACGCCGGGGGTGGTTTTGGCGCGAACACTCCGACGCTCAAGTCAGTGGTGGTCCAAAGAGAAAACGACAGAGTAACGGGAGAATTTGTATGTGTGTGTTCTGTAAATGAATGAACATGTGCCCCTTTTATAGTTGGGGGCTAAAGAATTCCAGCGGGATAAGAAGTCTTCTTTGTATAAACCACTTAATTAGGTTAAGGGTCTTCTGAATTCTTAGAGTCCTTGTTGCTATCAACACCTTCGTAACTTGATCACAAAGCCACCTTCAGGTTCTAGCCTCTTCGACAGCGCCATCTGGCCGGGCTGCCTAAATGCCGAGCACTCTTGAGCGCCAAGCACCCGGGGCCGCCGAGCAAACGAGGACGCCGAGCACCCCTTAGAGTCGACCTACCATGGACGATGACATAGAGCCGAGCATTCAAGAGCGTCGGGCATACAGAGACGCCGAACTCATC